TTTGTTCTTGACTGTTGCCTAGATACTATTTTATTACGCAATCACTTGCAGTTAGCAGCCTTATTTTTACAGCTGTGGGTATTATTACTGTTGTGGGTACTGATGAGTGTATGTTGACTTAGGATTTTTTTTCTTTTTTTGAGACGGAGCCTCAAGCTATCCCCCTGGGTCGAGTGCCATGGCCTCACAGCTCACAGCAACCTCCAACTCCTGGGCTCAAGCGAGTCTCCTGCCTCAGCCTCCCAAGTAGCTGGGACTACAGGCGCCCACAGCGCCTGGCCATTTTTTGGTTGCAGCCATCATTGTTGTTTGGTGGGCCCAGGCTGGGGATTCGAACCTGCCACCTTAGGTGTATGTGGCTGGCGCCTTAGCTGATTGAGCCACAGGCGCCGAGCCTTGACTTAGGATTTTAAACCTTTCTGTGAAGTCCACTGAAATGGAAAGCAGCTTATGCATTTTAGAAAATAAAAATGTGTCAACCCTACTATGTATTTAAGAAACTCTATTTAGATTGCTTAGTTTATCAAACCAAAGTGAGCAAAAAAAAAAAATTACTGTAAAAAGTAAGTTTTTATTGGTAATACATGTGTAGAAATGTTAAATGAAAACAAACAGCAATGATTTGCCCAGTTTTTCTGTTCTTTTTAATAAAAGATCATGCATCGTTAAACCACATCCTGACTCCTCTGCCATCTACTCTCTGGATATGGTGAGAATTCAGGTCTCTAACTCCAAAGGGGCACTGTAAGGCCACGTTCTGCTTTCCATGGGAAAACGAATATGCCAGGTTAGAATTGGTGGAACACTTTGCCCACAGGAGGGATGATGGCAGCTGTATGAGGCTCTAGATTGCTTAAGAAGCCAACGAAGAGAAAAGTCATAATCAAACCGGCCTGTCTGCTGCTGCTGCTGCCACCAGAGAGGACTTTCTCAACTCAGGTTTGTGCCAAGAAACCTTTTAGAGATGCTAATTTTTTCTTCACTCTCTGGTGTTATTTGTGTAATTTCTGAAGGTAAATTTTGCAGAATTGAGTACGTATTTATGTTCAGAATTCCAAGAGTGCTATAATAAAATGATGTAAATTGTGACTGATTTATAATTTCATGGTTATTTAATTGCCAGAAATGTCTCCAAACTGAAGGAGAATGTAGTTAACATTTGATGACCATTTTTTCATATACTTCCTACACACAAGTACGTGTGCACACACACAGAGTTTTGTGTAAATAGGCTCATATAATATATTCTGTTTTATTACAGACATCTGTTTTTAGTTTTTTTGTCTATGTTAATCCTCTTTTCTAATCACTTTCATCTCTAAGTTAGCCAGCCTTGGAAGCTTTATGTGTATCCTTCCAAATTAGTTTTCATTGTACAATCACATACCAACATACATATTCACACATTATGTTCAGCATAGAACATATTATTACACAGAACACGTATTATTATGTTTAGCACATAGAACAGAACCAAGTTTTTAGAACAGTGTCTTAAACATTACAGATGCTCAATAAATATTTCCTGAATAAATGAATGATTTGGCTTACAAAATGGGATATTACGTGTAATACATAGATTCTTTTCTGTATGTGGATTTTATCATTCAATACCTCAATGAAATTTCTTCGTGTAGATTTAATTAATTCTTATAAACAGTTCCATAATAGCCCATGGTTATGGAAGTAGAATCAATTTAACTGTATCCCTAACTGATAGTTAAATTACTTTTACTTTTTCGCCATTATGAACAATAATAGCTAATACCTATTGAGTATTTACCATGTACCATTATTTTTTTTAGTACTTTACAAGTATTAAATTACTAAGTTTAGGTTATTCTCCATATTTTAAAACATTGAGATGGGTGAGTGAGAGACCTGCCCACGTCTGTGTAGCTGGTAGGTAGCAAGCTGGAGTATAGCTCCAAGTACATTTCACGGAACTACTTCTGTAGAAGGTAGTGACCAACACAATTGTACAAACGTCTTAATGGAATAATGCTTTCTTTCTATTTGACAGTTTCCCCGGAGTGGAATTATTGTGGGAAAACATTGTGTATATTTTATATATATATATATCTAGCTCTATATATGCAGCTAGATTTTTTTGAAAACAGGCAGTAACAGAACAGTGTACATTTCCCCCAGCAGTGTACGAGACTGTTCTTTCCACTGTCAATACCAGCACTGAGAAAACGTACATGTATTATTTCTTTTTTGCCAATCTAGTGGGCGACAAGTGATATTTCAGTGTTCAGCAGGTATGTTCTTTTGACAGTACTGAGGTCGAGTAACATATATTTATAGGCTATTTGAATTTACTTTACTATAAATTATTACATTAGTCAGCATAAACAGACCATAAAAATAGGTCAAGTGTTCACAGAAGCGGGCAAGTCCAAAATCTGCAGGGTAGGCTGGCAGGCTGGAAACCTGAAGATAATACAATGCTCCAGGTCAAGCCCAAAGGCCATTTGCTGCAGAATTCCTTCTTGCTCAGGGGAAGTCAGACTTCTTGTTCTATTGGGTCTTCAAATGAACGGATGAGGCCCTGCCATAGTATAGAAGGCAATCCGGTTTAGGCAAAATTCACTAATTTAAAGGTTAATCATATCCAAAAGTATGTCCCAGAAATATCCAGAATAATATTTGGCTCAATATCTGAACACCATCACAATTATCTTTTAATATCTTTTCCTTATTTTTCTATTAAATTGCTTACTTTTTATCACCTTGAACATTATTGACATTAACCCATTAAATGTATTGCAAATATTTTCTCCAATCTCTCTTATATTCTTTGATTTTCCACTCTCCCTCTCTCCCACCTTTCTTTTCCCTTCCCCTTCCCCCTTTGCTTTCCTTTCCTTTCCTTTCCCTTTTTCCTTTCCTTTCCCTTTGTTTCATCAGATTCTCCTTTTGTTACCCTGGATAGAGTGCAGAGTCATCATCATAGCTCACAGCAACCTCCAACTCCTGGGCTCAAATGATCCTCCTGCCTCAGCCTCCGGGAGAGACAGGACTACATATGTGCACCACAGGACCCAGATAATATTTTTTTAACTTCTGATGGAGACTGGAGTCTTGCTTCTGCTCAAGGCTGGTCTTGAACTCCTAACCTCAAGTGGCTCTCTCACCTCAGCTTTCCAGAGTGCTAGGATTTTAGGCATGAGCTGTAACACCTGGTCTTAATTATCCATGTTTTACATCACTTTCATTAATGATTTCATTAATGATTTGAAAGTGATGTAAAAAACAAAAAGGACAAAAGTATAGTGTAGTAAGTTAGTTTTACAAACAGACTCAATAGTGGCAACAAAGGATGGTGGATTTTAGCTAACCCTCTTCCCATCCCCCTTGTATTCACAAGCCTCTTCAAATCATAATGGCAATACCAAAATTAAAATGAACAAAATTAAAAATATTTATGTAAGGAGGAATAAAAACCTGTATAGAAAATTTTGCTATAAAGTGGGTTTTATACAAATATTGCTTCAAACCCTTCCTCCTCCTCTACCCACCCCTACCAGCCCTCCTTCCAACACAATTGCAGGTTGTAATGTATAGTAGTCTTTCTGGAGCATCTAATGGTCAAAGTGCCTGGACTTGAAGTATAACCATCCACTTACTAGTGACTGAGTAACTTAAAATAGGGATTTAAAAAAACGTGTTTAAGATTGTTTCCGGAAACATTGAAAGAATGTCTCTTCTCTTTGTTACTTGTTTTATGATGGACTGATCATTGTTTCTCGAGTGAATCATAAGAATAGAGATGAAAACCTGTCATTTAGAAAACACACAGGATAAAAGCAAAACCTAAACATAAACTTGTGTCATGGGATCTTCTGTCCATAAGTAACAATCTGTTACACATGTGGATTTCATATATGAAAATCTAAATTTTTATAGAAGATACAAAAAGATAGGTTTCAGACAAATATCTCCTATTTCACCAGTACAAAGAATTCAACCTATGGAAGACTTTCCCTATTCTTGGTGCAGAAAACTATAAAAATAGCAAGCAATTAGCTCAATAATCAAAAGAAGTCTTGTTTTGGCTTGTCTATTTCTTGAAATGTAGTGATTTGTAGTAGTGGTGAGCCTCGTCATACATTTTTTTTTTTTTAAACTAGACAAGGTCTTGCTCTGTTACGTGGGCTGAAGTGCTATGGCATCATCATAGCTCAGTGCAGCCTCCAAATCCTGGGTTCAAGTGATCCTCCCGCTTCAGCCTCCCAGCTGAAGGCACAGGCCACCAGACCACCTTTCCCCACACATCTTGAAGCCAGCCATATGCAATGTTGGGATGGTCACGAGCTATACATTTTGGAAAATCTTAAGCTAGTTGAAATATGATACTTAAAAGGGACGCTTAATTATTATCTTTTTGACTTAGAAATACTAACACCTTAGAAAATTACAATTATTAACCAGTATTTTGAAAATTTACCTCTTTCAAAATTATCAATCCCACAGAGTTGTGTTTGTTTTAGTACCATTTTTGTTTTAAGGAAGAAAAGCAATATAAATAAAATGCTGGCTCAAAGTAGTCTTTACTTAATAAATAGGAACTATTACTGACACTTCTTGCCCTCACGGACCATATACCTTGTTTTCTTATATCGTATTTCCTTCCAACGCCTACACATATTTCGCTATCGTATAAATATTTATGAATGAATGAGTGACATCAATGACAGTCTGGTTTGGTTGCACCTTGTGGCCAAGCTCTGCAGTCAGGCGTTCCAGGAGGGAGAAAATAACCGCTAAACTCCGACCGCGGAGACCATAAACTACATTTCCCAGCATGCACTCAAACTCGGGGTTGCAGAGCATTCTGGGGAAAAGTCTCCCGCTCTCTATTGGCCACACAGGAGAAGAATTTAGTTTATGCAAATACGAGGCCGATCGCGCATGTACGCGCGGAGACCGCGCTGTCTTCTCGCCTGCGTTCTGCGGAACTCATTTTGAATGTAGAGGTTTCAGCCGGTGGGGTTTAAGAACAGTTTCATTTCCGGTACCAGCAGAAGCAGCTTGAACATGGCGACTTCCGCCCTGAACGAGCCTGGGAGAGCGGCTGGAAAAAGGAGCTTTCGCAACCAGAAGCCAAAGCCGGAGGACCAAGGTGATGTTATGGGAGAACCAAAGCCTGAGGATTGTAGATATTAAGTTGAGATTTTTTTCTTTCATTGGCTATGGATGTAGAAGGGCTCCTGGAGCCTGTTCTGTGTAATAGCTCATGACTGGGGGGGTGTTGGTTGGGCCCATGGGAACAACTGGCCTGTGTGGTGCCGCTCACGTGTTCATATAGCTCATTGTATTTGCTGAAGACTTTCAAAGTGAAGCTGCGGCCGAACCTGTCTTCTGCAAAAGGATGAGAAATTGTGGCGGCCCTTGTGTAACTTTACAGCGCGCTGCTGGCTGCACGTCGTTGACAGAGTGAGAAATAGGATGAAATGGGAACGATAGTCTTTACGGGAGTGACGCTGATAATGAAGACAGTAATGCAGGGAAAAAAATTATCTGACATGTCCTGGTCTCTATTTTGTCAGTAAAGACATTTTGGAACATTTGCCACTTATGCCTGTTCTTCGGATTGCTAAAATGTTAGACGTCACAGCTCTTATTTAGACTGCCCTACTTTCTAATTGCACTCTTAACGTTTCAGTCTGATTTTACCTATTTTCTTCAGTATGAATGACAGAAAGAGAGGCTAGATTTAGCCCACAAACTGCTTAGCCAGTATTACAGGAGCTGTTAAATACCTCGAATTCTCCTTCTACATGCATTGGGAGTATTAAAGGTTTTTGTTTTTGTTGTCTTAAAAATCATGTAATGTAGAGAATACAGTATATGTACAGTTTAGGGATTAAAATCATGCAGTCCCTCAGCCCATTAAGAAGAATGGGGCATTACCAGACCCGCAGAGCTTCCTCCTGCGCCTCTCAAATCTTGTTCTCTTTTCCAGTACCTGAAATAACCATTCGGAATCGCGTTAAGCGTTCTGTTCACTTTTTTCATAGTCACAAAATGGTTTAATTTTGCCTCTTTTTTAAAACATATGTGAATAAAAGCAGACTGTATACATTCTTATTGAATTTTTTATTATTTCAAATTAACATAAGTGTACAAATTTTTAGGTTACAGTGTTCTCACTTCCAAAGTAAAGTTCAAGTTGTAGAAGAGCTGTTCGTCCAAGGGGTGTGCTGAATACCCTTGCTTTGTGCACATTAGGCGAGATCCTGCCAAATGCCCTCCCTCCTCCTTCCATTCCCTCTCCTTACCCCTTCCCCTTAGACTGTTTTTGTGTTTTATCATTCCTATGAGCATGTACTAATATGAAACTGATAAATTTATTTATTTAGACAGGGTCTCATTCTGTCACCCTGGCTAGAGCTCAGTGGTGTCATCATAGCTCACTGCAGCCTCAAATTCCTGGGCTCAAGCCTTCCTCCCTCCTTAGCCTCCCAAAGTGCTAGGATTTCAGGCAGGAGCCACTGTACTGGCCTCTTCTGTGTCTTGCTTTGGGCTTGGGTTTGTTTTATTATTGAACCAGGTGATACTTGTAGGTGTAGTTTTCTACTTTACCATATGGTGTTTATTGTATGAATATACCCTAACTTATTTTTTGATTCTTTAGTTGGTGGACATTTGGATTTTTCGTGTTGCTTGCTATTATAAATAATACTGCTATAAACATCTTTGTACAGTCCTCTGGTTAACATGTTCCAGGGTTTCTCTAGGTTATAACCATAGGATTGGAATCATTAAAGTCTAAACTGCGTACAAGTAATGCTTTTTTCCCAAATGTGTCAATTTTGACTCCATCAGCAGTGAGTGAGAATTCTCTTGTTTGACCTCCACAGTAATACTTGATATTGTTAGAGTGGCAGGTGGCTGGAGATAATGGCTGAAATAATGAAAGAGAGCAAGATCAAGTAAAGTTTTAACAAGGAAGGAAAGTTTATTTTAATGGCCCGAATAGCAGGCCAGGCCTTATCCCGGCAGGCACTGTGGAAGTGTGGCCTCTGGATTTTTATACAACTTTGAGGAACACAGCTGTTTCTTGGAAGTCTCTCAGTGTCTTAATTAACTTTGTTCTCAAAACACTCCATAGTCTCGAAAACAAGCCACCAGCAAGGTCTTAATAACAGCCCACTTGCAGAGTCTTAATCAGCCTCATTCACATAATAGCCCAGGTCAGCCTGACCCAAACCAGTCCAAAATAGCCTAACTGCATCTTTCATCTACCCTGCTCTTATCTAGCTAGCTACCTAACAATAGTATATGAATTTGAATTAATTTGTCATTGTAATAGTGTAATAGGTATGAAATGGTATCTGGTTGGGGTTTTAATTTGTACTTTTCTGATTACCTATGAAGTTGAGCATCTTTTTACAGATGGGAGGCTATCTGTACTTCCTCTCTTGTAAAACTGCTATTTATTTCTTTTGCCAGTATTTTTTCCCTGAGTTGTGGTGTGTAACTTTTTTTGATTCATAGCCACTCAAAATGGCTATGTATTTAAATTGGACAGAGATGTGGTCACATACACATTTTAAGTAACTGCTGTTGTAGAATTTTGAATTTTTTAAAAAAAGATATTGGAGAACAAATGATATATGAAGACTAACTGTCTGTAATTTGAACCAAAAATAGCAAAGTGGATGTGGATATGAGAAACAGAAGGAAAACTTACCTGACTGGGATTGATAACAAGAGCTTAAGGCCTCCTTTTAAAACTTTACTATGTTTAAGAATCCCCTGATGAGATGTTAAAACGGGGACTTCTGTCCCTCATTCGAGAGGTTCTGATTCAGTAGGTCTAGGGTGGGGTCCAAGAATTGCACTTCTAACAAACTCCCAGTTTATGCTGATGCTGCAGGTCTGTGGATCATACCTTTGAGTAAAACTGAATTACAGTACAGCTGTTGGATTTAAGGCGTTCTTAAAATTCAGAACCAAAAGTTTTAATACATGATGCAGCAGATACAGTAATTCATAACTCATAAGAGGACAGACTGAACTTTGTGTCCTCAGGCAAGTCACTTAGCCTTTTGGACTGTCTTCTTAAAATGGGAATAATGATACTGGTTTTTTTACCTTTCATAGTTGTCACAAAAGGTATATAGAAATAAGGTACTGGTTCGGCGCCTATAGCTCAACCGGCTAAGGCGCCAGCCACGTACACCTAAGGTGGCGGGTTCGAATCCCCAGCCCAGACCCGCCAAACA